ATAATAATAATAATAATAATAATAATAATAATAATAATAATAATAATAATGTGAAAGTTACAAGTTAATAGCTGAGGTAGATGCAAACCAACCCAAAAGCCTTGCCGGAAAATTCCAGGATGCTTATCTATCAAACCTGGGAGCCAGCTGCCAAAGATTCAAGTTTTCGCAGCAAAGCCATCTGTTTGCTGGGGAAGCAAAAACAAAGACACTGCTGATTTAAAGCTCTGCAGAGATTCTCAGTCATCCGGGTCATAGTTGTCCCAAAGGTGCTTTTTCAGGAGTCAACTGGACTTATTTTGTTTTTCCTTTTGAAGATGTTTCACTTCTCATCCAAGAAGCTTCTTCAGCTCTGACAGGATAGTGGGGAATGGAAGGATTTATATTCTTTGCAGACAGCTGGTCATCTGCGCCCTTTTAGAGGGTTCTTCCTTGAAGCATTGGAGATTTATCTGTGTCCCCAGGGTCACCTGAGTAGTAATCTTGGTTTCTATGGTCTGCAATTTTTCTTCTGGAAATCCATTCCTACTCCCACACCATTCAAAGGGAGTTCATCCCAAATTGTACAGCTAAAAGTCTGTAAAGATTCTTACTCATCCAGGTCATGGTTGTCCCAAAGGTGCTTTTTGCTAATTTAAGGCATCATTTTTTAGGAAATGTGGGGAGGGGGTTGGACTGGTATACCATGCTATAAAAAGCACTCTTGGGGAACTAAGAAAAGCAGCCTGTATTTTAAGATGTGTGGACTTCAGGTCCCAAGAATTTCCTCAACCAGCACACTGACTTGGGAATCTTAAAGTTGCCAAGTGTGAAAAACTCCGCTGCATCTTTTGCTACTCTGTACACGGTTAGGTGTTACCTTTTATTTAGTAGATAAACCTTCCCCTACTGCAGGGGTAGGGAAACTTGGCTCTTCTATCACTTATGGACTTCAACTCCCAGAATTCCTGAGTCAGCCATAAAAGGTTTTTGACTTGAATGGGACTGTTTAATATACAAATGTAGGACAATACATTTGTATATTAAGCAGTCCCATTCAAGTCAAAAATTGATTTCCCCCACAACTGAAAAACCAGTAGGCCAGGGATGGGGAACCTTTTATGGCTCACTCAGGAATTCTGGGAGTTGAAGTCCATAAGTGATAGAAGAGCCAAGTTTCCTTACCCCTGCCCTACTGTGTGCATTATTTCCCAAGGACAAATCAGACAAATATTTTAAAATAATTACAAACGTTCTGAATGCATATTGAACAGATGCAGGAATGATACAGTATATCTGTTCTGGGGACCTCAGCTGTTGATTTATTTTCGAGACATCCTGAAAGAGTCTCCTGACTTAAACAATTGCAAATTCAACAGGTAGATTTCGGGAGGTTGGTTTGCATCTTCCAGAGGTGCTGCAACAAGCACTACTTTCTATATTGAGCCGCAGTTGGACCATCCTACAGCTACGCAAACTACAATTCCCAGCAGGCTGTGCTAGGAATGCTCCACACACACAAAGGGGAAAAGTCTGCCTTCTTCCTTCCTGAGTCCACACCGAGGGGGAGGCGTTCCTTTCCTAGCCCCCCCCCTTCATAGGATGGTGCATTGGTATCTTCCTAAGTCAGAGCGGTAGGGCAGGAGAAGCGGCCGTTGGGGGTGGATTCAGTCCGGCGGCTGCGGCGGCGGTTTCTGCTTTCTTTCCCGCCGGGATGCAGAGCTCGGATCTGGGCAACAGGGAACAGGGCAAAATCTGGCACCGCAGGCCCTCCCCGGCAACACAGCAGGGGTAATTTTCCGTAGCCACAGCATTGCCGGTTGCATATTTTAGCAGTTGTTCAACCACGGAGCTTCCATCTTCAGGAATAGTCTATCTGTTTCCAGCAAGAACGACGCTTTTTCATCACTTTCTGCTCACAGGCGTTCAGTTAGCCCATGACCAACCTAAAAGAGCTAGATTCCAACTGCCATCAGCCCCACCCCACCCCACAAAAAACAAAGGAAGGGAACTTTTTGGAGGGCGGATGGTGTGTGTGTGGTACACAGGTGATACAATGAAAAGGGGTCAATGTCCCCCTTTTGTGCTGACAAAAATAGAATCTTGGGAAATGGCTGAATGCACAGAGAGGACCTGGTGCAACTGCCTTAAATATATTTACTAAGTATGGGTTAGGTATGATATGAACCACTCCAGGTTAAAAATCCATATTTCTTTGCAAAAAAGTGGTTGACATGATATAGGGGGAGAGGTAGGTGTGTGCGTTCTCTCCTGGGAGAATCTGTTATTACACCTATAAAAATATAAGAGCTAACAATTTGAAGTCGATTTATTTGATAGGGATATTACATGCTCCATTGAAACTTTGTCACGGAGTGGGCATCTCTGATTGAGGGTTTTATCCCCGTAACATAGGTTCATCTCATCCCAGTCAGGGAAGTAAGCAAAGACAACTGCCAAAAATATGCAAGGCCACCCATTCTCTCCCTCTAGATTTTTTTAATAGCGGACTTTCTCCCTATTCTGACATAATTTCTTTTTTCCTACAGTTCTCCTTATATTAACTTCATTTTACTTTCTTTCCAGAATCATAGTAAATATTATTCATACTACCACAGGATATCATTCTAAGACAATACGTTTTTTGAATGTGGCTTTTGACTGTTCAGGGGAGTTTCTACTTGCTGGAGATCATCAGGGGAATATTTATGTTTTTGATTTGGTGGGCAACAGGTTGGTACTCCATCTCTCTCTTTCATCATTTAGTTTATGCTTGCTTAAAATATATGAATTGCTTAGGTAGAAGTACAATTTTGCTAGTGCCATGTGGACTTTTTCCAAGATTCTCTCCATGTACTCAATAAATAAAACATTATTATTAATAATATGGAAATAATTAATAAAATAATATTTTGGTGCGGATTGATTATGGCCTAGATTTATTTTAGTTTCTCCATTTCAAGGCCGTCAGACTCTTTAACAACACTGATAAAAAGAAAAGAAATACATATATAGATATATATATATAAACATAGACACATACATATGCAGACACATATACAGAGAGACATATACATAAATACAAGAGTAAAAGATCTGGCGTGTTTTAGAATATGTTGAGCCTTTTCGTTAAATGATTCTCTTTTAGCATTAGCATAGTTATCTGTTAGCTGGTATTGTAAGGAGTCTATGAAACATTTACAGGTTGCTTGACCTGCCATAAGGATGTCTTAAGCTCTGCTGGAATAATTTTAGCTTCTCCCAATAGGTTCAACCTGGTTCAACGAACAGGACAAGCTTGCACTGCCCTGGCATTTACTCTTCGCAGGAAAACAGAATTCCTTGTGGCTTTGGCTGATTATTCCATCAAATGCTTTGACACAGGTAATTTAAAAATTTCCAACCCATAGTAGACAGCCTCTCAAAGGTGCTGGCTCCTATATATAATTCCTGATGGACTTCATAATTCCATAGTGAACCAACTCCCAGAATTCCTCAGCCAAAATTCTGGGACTTGAAATCCACTCATCTTACACCAAGTTTGAAAAACACTGCTATAGTGTAATATAATGGCATGCAGAGTCAAGTTTGAAACAGTTATTTTGATCTTATGGAACTCATTCATCTAAATTGGTGCAAAACCTACTGGTAGAAATGATCTCCCTGTGTTTGTGCATAA